AAGAAAGGTCATTGGAAATTCCAAGCGGGACTGGGGGGTCTCAAAAGTCAAAATTTTTAAAGGAAAGTATGAAGCTTAACTGGAAATTCCAGGGGGGTTGGGGTGGAGTTCAAACCCAAAAACCTTCCATGGGGGAGGTAGGGATATTTCCTGGAACCACACAATTCTAACATGGGGGAAAATTTTGGTATATTCATAAAACATTTTGAGACATGTTCAGAAATCTTGAGAAATTTTTGGACATCTTATTGGAAATAAAACAAATAGGACTCTGGACAGCTGAGGAAAATCACATAAATGACCAAAAACTTGTGGCAGTTTTAACACTGAATTTGCGACATTTTACATGTATAATGTTGTTGGCCACATTCAGACAGCGAGTCACTTTGAGCTCTGAATGAAAATGTTCAAGGAATCCCAATCTAAACACGTCACTGTATTGTTCTTTTGATCACGCGAAACTGTGATCCCCAACCATCGTACACTACCTGTAACATACATGTAGAGTCTACTTGCACATACCTTTATTGATATGACAAAATTTCCTCCATTTTTGAGGAAGTGGTGAGCATTTATAGCGACGATACGAGCCTGATCAGGCTGAGCAACATCAGCGAAAATAGTATCTACCATACCTAGAACAAATTAGTACATCAATAGAATTAGTTTTTGCACTTACATACGTATTTTAGTTTAATGAGTTCGCCATGATATTTTATTGAACACATCCCCACATGAGGCTTTTCAGTGAACAAGTAAAATATATTATGCACTTGTGGGAGATGCAGTGGCCTAATAGTTAGCGCCTTGGACTCCGGATCAAGCAGTCCACATTTCAAGCACTGGCTGGGCAGGCGTGGATCCAGATCCAGTTTCCACCGTTTTATGGAAATCAGTCAGATTTTTAAAAATGCCTCAAAATCGAAAATAATTTACAGAGTGAAAATCTAAAAAATGTCAATACTCAGACTCTAGGAAACCGGTCAAGATTTTCCTGGATATGCACCTGCAGGGGTCATTGTGTTTTGTTCTTGGTCAAATTGCCTCTCTCAACGCAGGAGTAAATGGGTATACCGGTGAATTGTCAGGACTGTCAACCTGGTGGTTCTAACTTTTGAGTCCATGGATGAAACCCTAGTGTGTGACCATTCAATCGAGCAGTACTTTCACGTGGTACTATTTATTATGCTGTACAAGGTGGTTCTAAGTTTAAAAGTCTGTGAATGAAACCCTAGTGTGTGACCATTCAAATGAAAGCTATTGACCAGTACTTTCAAGTGGTGCTGTTTGTTTTTGACAATGTTGCAAAATGAAATTCAAGATTTTTCCTCAGTTTGAACTTAGCACTCTTGGGAGTGAAAGGGTTAAAATATAAGCAGAAGTAGGGTGACTCACCGACAAGCATTCTATATTTGTGAGGATGTCTGGCATCTTCAATGATTGGTATGACATTTGTTCTTTTTTTAGCTACATTGATAAGATCACGTCCGGATCTGTGAGAAAATTCAACTGCATACACAAGACCATCCTAAAATGTAAAAAAAATAAAGTAGTAAAACTAACAATCAATATGAAATACTTTTTTTTTTTTCATTTAAAGATTTTTTTTCATTTTCAGCATGTTACAAAGCGGTATACAAACAAGCATACAAAATACAAATCACACACATGCACATGCACACACTCACACAGGCTACTACAGCAATATGAACTATATAATACCTATACTATTGTTACTATAATTTACCTAATTAGCAAACAATAAGCTAAAAAGGATATGCAGAAACAAAACCTTATGCAAATTTCCTGATACGCTGAAATAGCCATGAACAAAAGCACAAGACAAAACAGTGAAATACTTGTGCTCATATGATTATTTCTTAGTACATGTATGGTCGAACTATACAAATGAATAATTAATACCGATGAATGATGACAAATTACTCCATGGTACAAAAACTCTTAATTATTGTAATTTCACATGCAAAGTTATGTACAAAACTTTTCCCAAATACATGTAAATATTAAAAGTATGGCATCACAAACGATCAATTTCAAGGCAACATGACACAGGCAAACACAAGAAAAAGTACAATTGTACTGTACATGTAATGGAGATATTATATATTCAAATGTGTGTGCAGAAAGCTTAAAGAATGGGAAAAACAAGGCAGCCCTTGAAACCTCTTTCATTGTACTGTGACTTATTATAAATTTCTTCCAGACTTTTTGATGACAATGACAAGCCTGTGCGTTAATACACAAATGCACTTACTGGTCCAACAATATCAGAGACATGAGAAACAGTTGTTCCTGATGCAGCACCGAGATACAACACTTTAGAACCAGGTACGATGTGAATCTTGTCGACTCCTCCAAGAATGGCCGCAGCAAGTTTGGATCGAAATGGATTCCATACTCTGTATTCAATCTTCTCACCCTCGGCTGCACCCTACAACACCAACGACATGAAAATGTCTTTTAACCTTAAATTTTCTATAGTGATCTACCACATCTATAATCTCTTTACATTTTTATGCAGACAGGTGGTAATGAGAATAAAGAAAACGGTCAACTATGTTGATGTACCATCTAATTCTCTAAACTGCACTTAAATAAATGCATGGTAAATAAATTGGAGCTTACATGTATGACTCAAAGGGTTAGGTTTCACTAATACACAAATGTTAACAACTGCATCGCTATATGGAGGTTGGATGCCTGGGATGTCCAGGGACTTCCTTCCACTGGAGGCCGCCAGCCAGCCCCTAGACCAAGTACCGCTCCCATGGCTGGCAATCCCCGCAACCCAGCCATGAGCCCCCACACAATGCCGAAAACCGCTCTTTGTTGTTAACTTAGTTGAATTGCATTTAACTGCATATAACACATTATTTTTTTTATATGTGGAATAATATACAACCCTTGTAAAAATGTCAATTTTTTAACAACAGGTTCCAAAACAAAATGTACAAGCTCTTACATCAACTGATATCCTTTTTTCACCATATACAGATTCTCCGACGACCATGTTCTTCGTCACCAAGGCATCTTCCTTCCCACGTGCAATAAACACTCCTAAAGTGAAAGAAATGAAAATCACGTACATTAAACACAGAGTAAATTTGTTAACTATGACAAGGATGTAAGTTCTTATTGAACCAGTGTCAGGTGACTCCAAGAAAAAGTCAATTGGCAACATTGAAATCGTGAACTGCAGCGATCCATCTTATCGATCAGCCGTATTGCAAAATTTGGATTGCTTGGGGAACCAATCAGAATGTTTCTCTTCGTCATGGACCAGTTCAATTTTTAACACGCATGTAAGTTACATACATGTACATGTTGCTTAATTCTGAAGACTATTGTAAGGTCTTGCAAGGGGGTCACTAGTTTGAATGTCAAACTGCATCAAATTTCTCTTTGTTTTTTTTTTTTCAAAATCCCTGCTGAAAAGTGGCGATAGCAATGTTGCCTGTTAACTGCTCTGATATATAGCAGGATTTTGCTCTGATTTTCCTGACAGGGTCTACATGTACATATGTACATTGTGTCGTTCCAGAAAATATCCATACCCCCCACGGAGGGTCACGGAAATTCCGAGGGGTAGGGGGGTCTAAAAGTGATAAATTTCCGAAGGGGAGGGGGGTACAAAAAGAGTTTTCTTTCCAGAGGGTTTCCTTTCTGAACAAGCACATCAAAATTCGTAAGAAATACTTACGTACTTTGTCTCTATTATCGGAGAATGAAACAAAGCCAAATCAACGTTCTGACCATTGCAATAATCCCAAACATCTTGTTCTTTCATGCATCTTTTATTTTCTTAGTTTACCGCCTCTCAAAAACTGTCTCGGCCGACCAAAACTCCTTCCAGTCCCCTGACCGTTGTTTCTTGGAAAAGCCAGGTTGCTCAGCTTTGTTACGAACGCGAACGATTCCTTCGTCGAGTATAAAAGCGCTAGCAATGGCAAAATCTCTTGAAAACAAAAACATAATCAGACTTCAAGACAAGTAAGTTAAATTTTTGATTGGAAAGAAAGATATTCTTTCTTTTTTTGGATTAAATTTGCGATTCACGTTCATTGTTTGTTCTTTCGGTAAGCTGTGTTAGCCGTGTGCGTGTTGATGAAAGTGATCGAAATAAATGTTGCGCTAACTGGTAAGCTTTTGTCGCTATTTTTCAAGTATAAAAAGGGTTTCAATTTCCAGGGGTACAGTAGGGGATTTTCAGATTAAAACTCATGAAATTCCGGAGGGTAGGGGGGTTCATCAAACACCCGCTGGAATGGAAATTCCGAAGGGGTGGGGGGGTCCAAACAAAATAACCCTCCGTGGGGGGGTATGGATATTTTCTGGAATGACACATTTTGACTTTTACGTGTGCCAGCTGATGTTACAGTTGAAACTGAATATTTCATTGAAAGTAGCTTTTACTGCAAAATCACCTTTTGTTTTACAAATTTAAAGCTGAAACTTTAAAACATTATTACTTGCCTTCATGTCTGTGTGGCTCAATGGATACTCTTGCTCCACCTCTAAAACCACCACGTCCACCTCCTGTTACACAATAGACAACACTCGTCATTAATAAAATTATAGAATGATCTATAGTTGTACAACAAATTATGCTACTCTAACAGTACAAGGTAAATAATAATAATAATAATAATAATAATAACATTTATATTGCGCAAATTCCATAAAAATGTTCAAATGCGCATAACAAAGCCATTAAAATTACAATTAAAAGATAAAATTACAATAAAAAGCTATGATAAAAATGCCCGACGAAAAAGGTGAGATAAAAAAAAGTCTTCACGAGCCTTGTGGCCCACAACTGCCAGAGCTTATCCCGGTTTCCTTAGCATGAAGCTAACTAGGAGTATTGCTGTACTCTGCCTGGATGGGATGCTAGCCCGTTGCAGGTTAACCTCCCAGAAGCGTGTCGCCAGTACCCATGGAGAGAGGCACTGTGAGAGTAAAGTGTCTTGCCCAAAACACAACACACTGACCCTGGCTTGAACCCAGACCACTCGATCTGGAGTCCAACGCGTTAACCATTAGGCCACCATGTCTCTCACTCTTAACAGTACAAGCACAAGGGAAATGATCCACTAGACCGCAAACAGTCCCTCTTTCGTTAGTTGGGCGAGTGCGAAATGCGAGTGAGTGGAAGTCATCGGAGAGTGAGCAAAGAAGAGAGAAAGAGGGACTCCCCGATTTTCTGTTTTTGGTGCGGTGGACTCTATCTCTTCTCTGCCCACTTGCACTCGGCCCATTTCTACTCACTCATGCCTCCCACTCATGATCAACAGCTTGCAGTCTACCACAGTTTATATAAACCCTACTATATTATATGGATACATATTCTTCTTAGTATGTAAACAAGGTTATCAACTGAATGTAAGTCATACAATAATAATAGTGTCTTACCTCGACCACCTCCTCTTCCTCCTCCACGTCCACCAAATCCGCCTCTACCACCTCCCCAAATCCACCTCTACCACCTCCCCCAAATCCGCCACCTCTTCCACCTCCCCCAAATCCGCCGCCTCTGCCACCACCCCCACGGAAGCCACCTGTGTGAATTAAACAAACAATACTATTATTGAACAAGGCTTTTGTTGTATCCTGAGTAATCAAGAGAGAGGGCAGTGTTATATCAGTATTAACATTACTGAGACCTTCATTATTCTAGATATCAGGGAACATTGAGTGTCCCTGGGAAACAAAACTCACTGTTTCCCTTGGCCAGTCAATAAGTGCTTATTGGTTTGCTGGATCATTACATGTACATACCATTGGGATATTCCCCGATACATGTTATGAGATTTGCATATTGTTATAGGGTGATCGGTGGACAACAAAAATAAGACACATTATGTCTACAGGCAAGACGTGCTAAAGCTGTGAAATTACTCAGTTTTAGAGGGATGTACAGTCGGACCTTGTGTACATGTAGGTGGACACCCTTGGGACAAGTTTGTATGTGACAAGACCTTGACTAAGTGTCCGCTTACAAGAGGTGTCCACCTAGGAGAAGTCTCCATTAGTGGATGTTCCACTGTACCACATTTTGTAGCATATAAAACCCCCGACACACTAGGCCATTTTATACACTCGCAGCGGCGATCGGCGAAAATCACCAAGTGTACCCGCTTCTGTGACAGCGAATTTCATCCGTGATTTTGATCGCTGATATTTGGCATGCATGTCAGATATTGGCATTAAAATTCGCCGGGTGTTGGCGATCGCCAAGTGTGCCGGCTCCCATGATTGAAATCGACAATCAATCAAGTTACATAAGTGCTACCATTTTAAACACGGAGAATGCCCTGGGACTGAATAGTCGGAAAAATCGCTGAGTGTGCCGCACCTGCGCACCGACAAAATTCACTGGTGAATTTCGCTGACGATCTAATCTCGTTCCCAGAGTCCTCGTTACCCTTGTCCAGCGGTGGGGCGGCCAACAAAGACCTCTGGGATAGAGTGATCCGCCTGACTTGCACAGTAAGACCGGAAGTCCAAGAATCTTGGCGTCCGTTAGTTGAAACATGGGGTCGAACACATGTGCAGTAGAACCTGAAGTCTAAGAATCCTGTCATGGCGGATCGCTTCCCCCCAGAGCTCCTTATTGGCCGCTCCACCGCTGAACAAGGGTAACAAGGACTCTGGGAACGAGATTGCTGACGATCAAATTCGCTGCAATGAGCATATAAAATCGCCTAGTGTGTCGGGGGCTTTAGTTGTTTTAGGAATTGATCACGAGGTTATTGAAAGGAAAGGGAATCATAGCCAGCCTCTTTATATGGTACATGTATGGGTTTATTATACCCATGTATGAACAAACAAAGTTCTGACTACTTGAAAACTAATCCATATTACAGTTCTTTTAGTATCAGACTGTTGGTCTTTGCCAAAGTATAAGCTTACAACACTGAACAGAAGACTTGCGAGTACGTCGATGTAACTTAAGCTTAAAATAAAATTACAAAAAAGTTTGGAACACGTTGTTTTCATTGTCTAAATGCGATCTCCATTTATCGATCCAAACTGCGAGTCTCAGATGCAGAAATCACACTCTAAAAAATAGCAACGTCAGCCCACGACGTAGCACAAACGTCGAAACAACATCAGAGATCAATTCAACTAAGCTAATTAATTGCAAAATCGTGCAGTAAACAACACGAGGGAAGCAACATGTAAGTTTATGATGTTTACAAACCTCGTCCTCCACCTCCTCTACCACCTCGGTCGCCACGCGGAGAAAAACCTGAAAATGTTGCTTCTAATCAGAACAAATTCCATCGCGCTCAAAAAGAAGTGAAATAACCAACAAAATTACAGAACATTTACCTGGTCGTTCCCATCGAAAACTTTCACAGTAAAAAACTCACGCACGTGGTCTAACAACTACTCTACTGCGCATGGACTGAGTTTGCATTGCATCTTGGGTAATACTCTTCGCCGGTGAAGATCCAAAATGGCGCAGAAGTTGGTACATTTTGGACAGAAAGTTGTGACTGCAACGCCTCGTGTGGCCACAAATTGTCGTTTCAAGCGTTAGGTAAGAAACTAGAATGACGCTTTGATAGTTTTAAAGTCTTTTGTTTCGTCCGGCTCTCTTTTCGTGCAGTATTTTGTAAGTGAAATATTTAGCGAAATGGGCAAAATTATGCAAGCGGGCCAATCAAATATCAGACGCACAAGTAATACTCTGTTATGAATGTTCTTACCAGGAAATTCGGGGCGGTATTTGCTACAGCAAATTACCAATATATTTCAGATCTCTTAGGAGGGTACATAGGATAGTTATAGGAGAATAATTAGGATTTTAAAGCCGAAATGCCCGTCACTGTAGTACGTTGGAGGTTTGATCGTCCTTGGTCTGAATTTCAGATCAATATTTGTCACGCAAATTAAATGCTCAGTTAAGAATTCTGTGGGTCATATTGTTGGTGTACGCGGTTCCAAGGATTTCTGTTCGTAGATTGATTGGATTTAGCCATTTTTGACCTTTTGAAACTGATTACATGTAGAAGTCAAACTTTCCCCTAGGCTAAAAACCAAATCCCAATGGTATAAAGGTCTGATATCTCTCGATTTGGGCTTGTTAGGGTTCCCATAGGTCAGGAAAATAACATTTTACCAGGTTGTCTCTCCCCTCCCCCCCTCCCCCACTTCCGCTTATAGCCCGGGCTTATTTTTATTAAGACTGGGCCTTTTGGGGGGGAGGGGGGCTATAACTTGAAATAATTTTTGTGTTCAAAAATGTTGGTCTTATATTTGGAAGAATTTGCATCTGAAATTTTAAGTACATACCAAAAACTGCATAGTAAAACTCTAAACATAACAATCTGAACTCAACAAGTAATACAGTCATCAAATGAAAATCGCAAGTCTCTTAGCATACTGTTATGATGTAAAATACAAAACAAGCTCTATTATAGACTGTAAAATGGTCTCTTTTCCCTGGCTTTTCTCTCAAATTGGGAGGCGTGAAGCACCGATAAGTTAGCGCACAAGCCTGAGGCATCTCTCTCCAATCCCACTTGTAATTTTCATGTGCATTCCAGATTAGTTTTGGGCTGCTGTCAGTGCTGTGTTTCTCCCATGAACTCATGAATCCTGTGCGATCCAAGGGGGTGGCATCTAAGATTTTAGGGGCTTATATTCAGTGGGCTTATTCTTATCAGAAATTTATGGAATACATTTGGAATTGAAAACTCTTTCCCATCGTAGGTGTAGCCAAGAAAGCCCAACCCCATGTGGTGAAATTTTGGAATAATGCCAAGTTGAGATGATTCCACCCAAGCTGTCAGAATGGCCCGCCATCCAGAAAAGCTTCCTCGGCCTGAAGGATGCTGCGCTCAAAGGCAAGTTCCTTGACATGACAGTGAAACAAGCTACAGCAAATACTCTGGTCGCCGTGGAGATTGCTTTCTGGTTTACATCGGAGAAGTCATTGGAAGAAGGAGTCTGATTGGCTACAATGTTTGATGATCTTTCAAGATGTACTGATTGTTTGAATATTTCTTAACGGTGTCGCAAAACCTTTTGATGTTTGTGTAAAAAAAGGATTGAATTGGGTTTTGGTAGTATCCTGACCAGGCAATTAAAGTAACTAATTTCAGATTGGTTGTAGTAGTTTTTTAATTATAATTTATTATTGTTTGTGCTTCCCTTTAAACATGTTTAAATTATGGTTTGGCTTTACAGTCGAACCTCCACTAATACAGACCTTCAGATTGGGGTACGAGTACGAGTAGAAGTTTCTACTTTCAAAACGATATTGTTCCCAGAGCCCTCGCTTCCCCTGTGACTGACTAGTAGAAGTGTAGGTTCTGGCCGGAGATTGGCGTGACACATGATGATTATGAGGATGCGCAATAGGTTTAAAAAGTCGTACTCGTACTCGTTATCGTACTCATACCCCAATCTGAAGGTACGTAATGAAATACCTTCCGTAGGCGGACACCTCTCGTAAGCAGACACTTGTTCATGTTCCAGCTACATACCAACATCTTCGTCCCAAGGGTGTCCACTTACGGGAGGTTCGACTGTATTTGTAACTTCAAGTTCATCGCAAGCTACTCCCCAGCATTTTTGTCAGGTTGCTCTAACAATTTGCCAGTACCCATTTATATACGTCTGGGTCATAGAGAGAGTCAGATTTCACGCGACCATTTTTAACTCACTCTATTTTGCTTCCCACTCGATGGACTAAGAGAAAGAGGGACAGCTTGTAGTCTAAGATTGAGTCAAAATCAACAGGCTTGTTTCTTTCTTTTTATTTAGTGTCAGAATTATTAGAGTATCTTAATGTAGCTAAGCTTCTATTCGTATATTTAAAACATTTGACAGGACTGGAGGATATTTTAGGTGTGACATTTGAGTTGTAGGGGTTGTATTTTGAGAGGATTGGGTCACGTCACGGAACTCAATTTGTTTTTCTAACAACTGCATATCTTTCACAAAATGGGACCATATTTTATTTGTGGAATTGAAAATGCGCGTGCGTGAATTCATAGCCTGATTGGAGCGGGGAACTCGAAAAATTTCTGTACCCTGATCC